GACCACAATTTACGTTGTACAGTACGACATTTTGCATAGAGATTTTAGTCAACAGAAATTAAGATCAGTGCCAGTGTTGCTGCATTGACCTCCGTTTCAATATCCTCACTGTCAGTATAACACCGTTTAATGCAAAATCGCACATCCTTTCCCACCCCCACCCCACCCTTCGAAATAATAGTTGTTGATTTATAATAACTTGTACAATCGAACAAATACCAAGAGCAACAGCACTTAAATAACCCACAGATAAGCTGGCAATCATGATGTGTCACCAATATGGAAAACGATTTCACAAATGAGCAATGGCTGTGCGGAATAAATCGCAATTTTTGTCGACATTATGAAAATAGTGAGAAACATATCTTTGATAAATGTGTGCCTGATTATATACCATGTACCAATCCATTTTGAACCATCATACACAGTTTCTTTAAACAATATGGAACACTTATCGTTAACCGAAACATCATCAAAATTGACGTCAACAAATGTATGCTGATTTCCTAATGAAAGAAAAGGTTTAACCCACCACCAAAGCACTACTTACATCCATCTTTTCCATGATGATTCCGTATAACCCGAGCGACAGGATTGTCGTCTCTTACCTAAAATATTTTGACTTTGAATATGAAGTTGGTTGCTACTCTTTTGCAACAACTTTGGACACCAATTGGGCATTTCTTGATAAAATAATGCATTTGAGTTTGCGTTCATTCACAGTCTATAAAACCTAACAATCGATGCAACCTCAGCTTTCTGTTATTGAACAGAAACTTTTGGAGCATCGAAATTCTAAAACACTTGAGCTCTAGTAAATTGGACTAACAGATTTCACCCACATTTTAAAAGAAACTCAAAATTCTTATCATTACCTTTTTAGGGAAAAATGATTAATTAAATACGAATGTTTTGACCTTTTTCCCCATAGTACCTCTGTAACCAATGAATTTGTTGAATACAAACTGTGAATGTAAAGTTTTGAAGCCAGACATATATTTTCAAAGTTATCGTCAAATCATTTGTTCTGGAACAAAAGCCGGTATTTGATCGGAGAATAGCCCAGAGCTGCAGTACAATTATCATCACTACTATAGTAGATTATTCCAAAAACAGGTACCCCTCCACATCAGGCTGAATTTCTTTGGCAATTTTTCAAACAGAAAACAGTGAAATTTGATCTTCAGAACTCCATAGAACTTTAGAATACTGAAGACAGGGTCCGCGAGAAGGCCACTCTACTCTGTTTAGAGGTTGTTGGGGAAAAAAAATTTCGATTTTATCTTTTTAAACGATAGGTCTAGACAAGCTATAGTTAAATCCAAAATATTAGGACATTTGGTTTTACCTATAAAATATGCCACCTATAACAAGTTTAAGGGAGTCAAAATAGCCCCAGAAAAGTCGCTAAAATTGGGTGTGGTCAATATTTCGATATTTTCTCATGAATGGCTTGACCGTTTGAAATCGGGTGTATTTCATTAGATAGGGAATAGTATAGGCTACAAATTTATCCACTTTCGATGATTCATATTTTTTATAAAGGCAAAGCTATAAATCAAATGCCTTCAACATTTCAAGAAATCTTACTCTCTGGAATGGCAGTTTTTTGGACTTTTATTGACTGGTGCAAGCAATCCTACCCTACTCTTTTTATCAGACATAGATATTGTCAAGATACATCTTTTAACATTAAATTGTCAAGACGAAAAAACGAGGAGAGGGGGGGCAGATTAGTATCAAGCACACTGTGACATACCCTGCCTAGTCACTTTTGATCCTACCCCACAAAGGCATACAATTTCTATGGAACTTTAAAAAATGGATTTCAGATTCGTATTCATCAGGAAAAACTCAGTTAGATAGGTTATTTTAGATTGATTTGCTGCTTGTACGAACGAAGGCGTGGGTGTAGGTGTGGGATGTGGGTTTGGGGTCTGGGTATGCGTATGGGGTAAGAGTATGGGTATGAGTGGATGTGAGTATGCATAGAACTAGAAACATTTCCACATGCCCTCATCCATTCTCACAGAAGCCTCTGATGGAAGGCTTACTTTTAAAATTAAAACGACAAGCTTTATCAAATGAAAAGCGGCCAAAGGAATCCCGAAGAATAAATTATTCATTTATTACGGATGAAGCTGAATATGAAAGAAACTCTGCAACAAGCGATCGATTTCTTTGTAGTAATTGCCGAAGTGGTATTGATCCCAATGATGTATTAGCTTCTCACTGTGAAGGCAGTGGTATCTGTCGTACATGTGTTGAAAAGTATAGCAATCTAGATTCATGCGACAAAAACATTATTGACAAATCTTAATTTTATGTTTCTTTTTCTGAAACTGAAATTTTTCATGTGCATGACAATGTAAACATCTTCAACGAGTTATTTGGTGATAACAAAGAGCATCTGAGGAAAAAATAAACACTTTTGGACGGTCAATTTTATCTCATAATAATTTTAATTGCCCTTTAGACAGAAATATGTTGAACGGCAACAATATCGAGGGTGTGGGATGGATGGGTGTGAGTGAGGGTGTGGGGTGGATGGGTGTGAGTGAGGG